ATTAGAGATTAGGCCCGGATAGGGATTACCCGGGTAACCCGTATAAGCACTCTTATCCGGGTAGAAACTTTGTTAACCGGTTAACCCAGATAAGAAATTAAAATTAAAAAATAAATAAAACAACCCGGTTTATATGCGATTCACGATGATTTGAATAATGAAATAACCCGATTCATTCGTATTATACTAGTATACTGTTATATTAGCCAGTTCTGATCTTTTACATAGCGACTTTTTGTAATTAGGATTGACAAATTATATATATATTATATTCGATCAGTAGAAATGTCCCTTAATTTCCTATGTAATGTATTCTACTATAAGATCTGCATGCAATATTTATAAGAAAAAAAGATGAATTGTAATTTTCATCTCTATTGTAACTATACATTACTGCAATTTACCACATATTTGTAGTATAATATTTATGACTCATTGAGTCTTTCTTTCTCTAAAAACAAGCTTAAAAACTTTAATGAATTAAAAACTGAAAAAGATCTTCCATTTAAAAATGAATGACAATATCCTATTATTATACATCACGGGATAGATATATCAAAAATTAGTGGATATGAAGCACGCCAGTAAATATTTGCACTTGGAAATAGTTATTAAGATGGAATTAGTATTGAAAAGGATAAGACACACTAGTAGAATATATATACTAGTAACTGTTGTAGAAATAGAATAGAAGTTAAAGAAGCATGGCACTTATTATTAAAAATCAGCGGTGATAGGTCATGCCAGTAAAATACATATGCTGGTTATTGTTATCGCATGCTAAAGAATTGAAATTAAAGATAATAGACATAAGCATTTATTTATCAAAAATCTGTTAATGTGAATTATATTTATTAATATAAAATAGGAGGCTAGTACTGGGAATTATGCAAGTTTACTAAACTATATTTAAGTTATTTCTTTAATAATAAGATAATGATAATGTTTACTGTTTTAAGATGAGAAAGTTTATATATATATCTGTTATTTTTTGATTTAATTATTATTTTTTTTAGTTTTGCTTAATATTTATTATTATTAGATACAAGTATTTTTAGGTCTGATGTATCATTATATTAAGACAAACAATATTCATTTTAATAAGTTCTTTATTTAATCTTATAAGGTATAAATGTAGTTATTCCAAAAGCTTAAATATTATACTTTACTATTACTACTAAACATAATTTATATTTATATTTCGTAGTTTTATGTTCTTATTTGATTATTTTTTTTGCAATAGTTGTGCACATAAGTCATAACGCGTTCCTTAGTCCAACTTGATTCAATATCTTGAAGTTCATAAAGAATATCATATAGTAATTGATCATTGTCAGAGAGAGTAGTATGAGTAAGCAATTGAGAAAGAATTTCTTTTGCATTGTTGCTTGTTGTTCTACGTGTACATTTAGGAGAAGGTGAGTTTATTTCGTCACTAATAGTATTATTGCCACTATCACTATTAATAATAAATTTTTTTTTTCTTTTTATTGTTATTACTACTTAACATACTTGACAACTTATGTATATTTATATCACAACTTCTTCAACCCTTAACAACTCTCTTCAGTTTTTAAAATTTCTTGATTATAAATTGAGTTTAATTTTTTTATTCCTTTTTTATAACATGTTGCAATAAGTAAAAATCTTACTTCGTTTATTTAAAAAGTTCATGAGTTGGATCTGACAGTTGAAATGCAGCAGTTAAATTATCAGCAAGTTTCCATACTGCTTCTTTATAGAATTGTACATTACGATCTTTACCCACTGTAATAATATCTCCTATGTAATCTGATAAAAGTGCCTGTATTCTATCAATTTCAGATTGAATAGATGATATGTGTAGCTTGAGTTGTTCTTTATCCATTATATTTGCTTTGATGTTTTGCTTAACAAATTTTACACCAAAAATTTCTAAAGCTTCATCAAAAGCAAGATAGTGACCAGGACGTGTAAGGTTCACTGAATATACCTGACAAAGTAATTGTTGAAATTGGGAATCATTATAAACTTGAGACAGAAAATGAGTTGTTGATCACCCATAATTACTTTTGCCACAAACTAAAAATAGAGGTGCAAATGCTGAAAGCAAATAAAATTGTAAATCATAGTTAGCTCTTCTGATTCCTATTTTGTGATTAACTATATAACCCATCCAATGAAAATATAAAAGCCAAACTTTTACAATAGTATTTTTTTTTTCAATATTTTCAATAGTTTCATTTTGATTTTTTAAATATTTTGATAAAGCAATTCCTACGGACATCCAAATTAATTCTAATACATGAAATGTGGTATTATAATCAACGACTTTTTCTAATTTATCTATATACTTAGCACCAAGTTTTGCGGCCAAACTGAAAATTCTATATTCTGAAAAAATTTTAATTAAAGTAGCACACATTGTCTTTGATGTATGCCATAGGCCTAAAATTAACTGTATTGGTTTGTCTTTTTTTGAATCATGATATGATATTAGTTAGCGAAAAATTGCCTCATCAGAAGCAACATCCAAATACTCATCTTCTGATAATTTAAGATCCTTAAAATATGCTCACATGAATTATATACATTTAGATCACAATTTGGTTCTTTACCTGGTGTAAGAATTACAAAGTTTGGAGCATTAATTTGACATCCCAATAGTACATCTTTAACAAGTTCATGATAAATGTCCTCAATATCTAAACTATTTGAATATAATTCTACAAGTTAACTAAAGATATTTTTATGCTTTTGATATTGATTTTTTACAAAATTCGACTTACCAAATAAAATATTATTACTAATAGTATTAATATTATTATTATTACTATTTGTAATTGTTATAGGTAAGGTAAACTAAAAGACTATTCTTAATGTGGCATGTGAAGTATTCCAGGAATCATCAAAAATATTTTCAAACTTAAATAAACTTTCCTTAAAGTCAATGTTATCAATAACACATATTGTCCAAATATTTGGATCTTTTAAAAGTCTTGAATTTGGATTTGTTTGTATCATTCTACATTTTTCCAATCTTCGCTTATATCTTTGTGTATGTGATACTACATTTGCTATGCACAAAATACTATAAAGTAAAGTTGATAATTGAGATTTCCATGCTAAAGAACTCATAACATGTATAAGCCAAATATCAGTAGCTGGGAAAGCAATAGTAAGAATTACAGAAATAAAAAATGTTGATATTTTTCTACTCTAACTTTATTAAAAGCTTTTATTTCTAATTTCCTTTGTTTTCGCTTTTTTACAACTACAACATATTTTTTTTTTTGTAATATGGTAATTAACCCATCAAAAAAACCAGAAAAACAGCTTGGAAAAGCCAATTGGTATTCATCTAGTGAATTAGGCTTTTCAAGAATTTCCTTATTTTTCCGCACTTCATCTTGAGATTTCCATATTACATTTTCTAAACTTTCTCCAAGTTTTTTTAATATTTATAAGTAAGATCATAGTTATTTTCTGTAATTTTTGTAAGATTTACTTGCCCAAGCCGAAGTGCAGTTTTCACAAATAAAAGACTAGGAGGATTTTGTTCATGGTTTTTTGTTTTATCAAAAATAGATAATGCTGAACTAAGATATGTTAACAATTCATCTTTATATTCAAATTTGTTTTATTTTGCTACATTTAAAATCCACTGTTCTAAAAGCAAAAGTGCTTGCATTGTATTATCATTATGTTTATCAGCACATTGAAAAGGCTGTTTCCCAATACCTTGCCATTGAAAGAAATGACCACCTTGTGAGTCAAAACAATAAGTGCAGATGTATCGAGGTTGGTATTTACTATCATTATTTTTATTACAGTTTTCAACAATGCTATTGTTTTTAGTAACAAATGCTAAACATGTTTTAAGACCCATGCAAGGTACTTGTATTTCATGTCCTATTATGTGTATAGTATGTTGGGCACAACTAGCCACAGCTAAAAAAATATTTGTCCTTGTTACAAAATAAACACCGATGACAATAAACCCAACTTTTTTCAATACATTGTTGATTTTTAAGATTTGAACTGTGAAGAACATTTTGATCAAAACTATAACATGACCCAAAGTTTATAATTTATTATCTTCTTTTACAGATTCAAGTGCTTCATTATCGATTTCCCAGGCACCAACTAGCTGTGCTAAAGGCCGCTGAGTTTTTTGGTTATATTTAAGACACTGTTGTACCTGGTTATCAACTACATGCAAAAGAACACATGGTGTTAAAGTTTGAGCTTTTTCATAATCATCAAGAAGGTAATTTGAATCTTTAGTTGATCTTGTTGTAACTAATGCTATTTCAGAAGATTCATAATCTAAATCTTCCCATTCAATATCATCATCATAATTAACTTCTTTTTCGTTAGCTAATAATTTGGCCCTTTCTAGAGCTAATTCATCGAATATAAACAAGTTTAGTTTATTGTTATTATTTTTATTAACATTATTAACTATATTTTCAATAGTAGTAGAACTTATACAAGAATGTTGTAATCACTATCAGGATCATGTATATTAACATTCTCTTCATTTATTCCAAAATTGCTAAACAGCAAAATATCTTCATCAGATTGCTTATCTAAAATCGATTATTGGTAAAAATTAATGCACTATCTAAAACATTATTCTTAAATGCTTCAAATTCTTTTATATGAGTGCTATCAATAGAAAACCTGTCACTGGGCTTTCAATGTTCAGTTGGCTTTCTGCATGCTATCTATGGGCAATCTATTCTGATGATAAATTGTCCATAGGTGGCATACAGAAAGCCAACTGAACATTGAAAGCCCGATGACAGGTTTTCTATTGACAGCACTCATATTGGATCTTCTAACAAAATAACTTTTTGAACTATATAAATCATATAGTCTTGAGCACTATTTGGTTAAAAAAGATTTATATTATTATTAACTTACACATTTCTTCCATCATATAAAAATCATTTGCATTAATAATCGTGACTATATTGGTGGCTTAGTAGTTAA